TTACAAAAAATAGTCTATGCATGTAAAAATGCTAACTAAAATTACTACAGAAATACATACTAAGAAGAGCATCTTGTCGGAGGTTTCTTATGTCTGTGTCGGCCTGCATACGTTCCAATAATATGTTTTAGCATTTTTTGTGCACTAGAGTTGTTTAGACCCAATTAGACTACAAATAAATATTTCACAACGTTTCTCCTCTTTGACAATGTTTTAATCTGATGTAACAAATTGACATATCATGTAGAACTTAAATTCTTATAATTTTTTTGAAAATATTATTCTTATGTTAACCACATTATGAAGAGAATGTTGAAAGAATGAGCGTGAGTACTGTAAGAGTTTCTCTTTGGAGTTTTTGCTTGTGTGGAAGTGATTATATAAATTTAATTGATTGTTTGCAAAGTGATTATTTTTAAAATATGGTTAAAAATAGGAAAAAAATGTGAAACAACTTAAAAATAATTTTTTTTTTTTAAATGTGATTTTAATCAATTTCAAACAAGGTCAAAGATATGCCCTTAAATCAGGATTTTTGAATAGTAAGGGTACGTTTGATTGCAAGCATGAAATTTGCACGAAAAGAAAATAAATTTTAGGTAATTCAATTGCTTAGAATTTATTTGTATGGAAATTGTCAATTAAATGTGTTTGATTGATTTAATTTTCAACCTAAAAAATATTATACTTGTCCATTTTTTATTGGCGGGTTAATGTGAGAGAGTGGATAAATAAAAGAGAGAAAGAGAGAGCGAATTCCATAGAAAATAAAATCTTAATCTTTCTAAAGAAAATATTTTCCTTAATTTTGAGGAAAATATGGTCACGTGACTAAAAGTGGGAAAATATTTTTCATGAAAAAAAAATGACAATCAAACAGCAAAAAGTAGGAATTTAGGTTGGAAAAAACACATTTTCCAAGGAAAATATAGGCAATCAAACGTACTCTAAGTTCTCAATTCTATACAATCTTGAAGTCATCTTTTTCAATCGTGACATTTTATTTGTATCCATTTTTTTCGTTTGAGTTCATAGTTCAACATACATAGCCATTGTTTGAGCCCCATTTTTTTAGCTTTTGAAAAGTGATTTTTTCATGAATGTATAATTAAAAAGTGGAAAAAAATTTATCTAATTTGAAAATGAATTTCAGAGAATGAGACTCAAGCAGGGGCTTAATATTCCCTAAAAATTTCTATTTCTTCCTTTATTTTCATTTTTTTTATATTTTTTCTCTCTTCTCAGTAATTCTTTATATATTATTTTAAATCTCAAAACATAATTGTAGACTTTGTTATGCTTAAACAATGAGTGATTAATACAAAACAAATTTTGTTAGTCACACTACTTTAAAAAAATGCACACTAATTAAAATACATTTTTTTATATAATTATACATATAAATTTCACAAATATAGCCCTAACTGATTTAAAAACTAAAAAGGAACAAAAGAAACAGAGATACACCAAGACGTGAATGCATTCACAATTATACCCTCCTAACACCATCAACTGCAATATGAGGTCCAACAAACCCATGAAATTTGCTTTAAAATTTAACAATAATACAGTTGAAACTCCATTAGTTTTCAACTTTAATTTGCAAGAAAAAAAATCTACAATTTCATGGCTACCCACTCTCTACAAAAATTTGGAATTGAAATTTCCTTCCAAGTGTCGAAGATCGATAAGCAAAAGATGAATTGGAAGGAGATGGATTCTGCACTAAACCCAATTTATCAGTCAAGAAGAAATCCTATAACCTAATTCATCTTTCATAAAGATTGAAACTTGAATAGGACTTATGCATGACAGTGAGAATTTCCTTCTACCTCTATCGCTATTTGTGTGTGCATATTTGAATATATTTCATGGCAATCATTTCATATGGGGTTTTTTTATGTCATTTTGCGTGTGATCACATTAGTAAATAAGAAAAATATTTAAAAATATAATGTACCTAAAAAAATTCGTGGTGTGAATATAAGCACCCTTAAACAGTACATGAATATATAATTGCGGTAATAAAAAACAATACATAAAGAAGTTTTCTACAATCAAAATTAAAAATTAAACTTTAGGCTCAATAAAGTCAAGCCAACTAACTACAAATCCAACCTAAAATACGAAAAAGAAATAATTCAGACAGGTTGAAAGACGACCGAGTGGAAGTTTGATGTCCAGAATTCGCTATCTGATTTACTTATAATACATTTTTTGTAAGATTGTGTGCTATATATTATATTTTGCTATGATATAATAATACTTTATAATAAATAAACTATGTTTTTATTTATTTATTGTATTTATTTATTATTGAATATGTGAATTAAAGTGCATATGATCACTTGTAATAATATAAGTTGAGTACTTACATTAAGAAGTACAGCGTAGCATAACTTAGATTTTGACTAAAATTGATTTGTGCAAGACCAATGTATAAGGATTGGCACCTTGTACTGAAATGTTGTAATGTTAATCGATTCACTATTTAGGTTTATGATTTATCCTTATCACAAAATTAGTTAAAGGTGACACTAGTACATTTGAAGTGTATTGAACGGACCACGTATCGAGTTTAGTTCTCTAGCATGACCATATGGAGAATTAAATCACTTGACCATTATGTATTTATTTAAATAGAACTTGATTGCCAACAACTTGCTTCATTGACTCTTGCAACTTAAGGACAGTTTGTGCCCCTTGAAACCATGGGGATGTCGCCTTCCAGGTTTGCATCATCATATACAGACTTTTCTAGCCTACTTAAATGAAGTAAGGAAAGGATACTTTAGGCCTTCCTCGCTAGACGAATTCACTTAATCAAAGATTTTTCCTTCATTAATCGCCTCTCGACAGTTTTATGTATATCTTTTTGTAATTTTAATAGTTATTTGACTCATTAATGGTGAGATCAATTGGATTGGTTAAATATTTTTATGAGTTGGGAATTTGAAAATGAGTCAAGTAGAGAATATGAATTCATGTCGGGAACGTCACCCTAAAAAATGGATAGAGTGACTAAGTATTTTTCGTTGAATGGTTAAAGTCTAATCTCAATATTTAACGATGGCTAAACTTCAACATTTGTGACTGATTCACATGATCGTTGAAAAAAAATGATACTTAAGTTAGTGAAAATAATTAAAAGGGCAAAACAGTCATTTATGCTCATATCTAATTATCGAATTTCAAACGGAGATAAAATACATATATAACAGGTCTGATGAAAGTATTACAAATTTATTAACTTCTGTGATCTTATATATTACAAGAGTTCAATATTTTTCCTTTAATGAAAAAATCAAAGACTAATAATTAGATTTTGCTGGTCTATGGTAGACCAGATAGGATCTAATAATTGTGGTTTGGATGATATATGTCAGATCAGGTCCCTTTAATAGCTCTATAAAGTTTTGGAATTTGATTATGGTAATTATAATAGTTTTGAAGTTAATTGTAATTATAACAAAATTTTTGTACTTAGTTTTAATGACTATGAAAGTTTAACTTAATTATAGTTATAATTGAAATTCTAGGACTACACAACTAATTAAATGTAAAAAGCTGAAAGTTCGTTATTCAAAAAAGTTAAAAGTTCATCATCGAATTTATGTAAAAAATTCGAACTTTTATTCTTGATATAACATACACGTGAACATTTAAACGATCTTGTTTATTAAATTAGAAATTTTTTTTTTATTTCTAGATAATTTAGCTTCTGCATTCCAATAATTTTAACATTTTGTTACTTCACATTTTCTTAATAAATGAAAAATCAGCAACACATTTTTAAAATTTGTGCTACAGGTACAGCTTATTTCACAATATTGTTTACAATGTTCTCACATGGGAGAAATGAGATTGCGATCCCATATTATATAAGAGAGCTGTCAAATAAAGGGTACAGTACATCATTTTCCGATTTTTAAAATGTATTAGACTTTAACGCGTTTATAGACAAATGAGAATCAAAGAATATTCTTTGAAATTTTAGAACACAATTCAACCACGCCATGTGTTAAAGATAATCTTAATCCAGTATTCCAATTCCAAAACGTGTGTTTTATCTTATTAAAAAATGATTCTAAAACTGAGATCAAGGGCCCTGATGCTCTCAATAAGAACCCAAGTTATGACGTGGCAGGATAACAACTGTAAACTGAAACTTGGCCTACATTTTCTTTTCTTTTCTATTCAATCTTATCTTTCCCCACACCTTTTTGGTAAGGCCATGTGTCATCTTGTTAAGTGTGTTTGATAGCCCCTTGTGAAGAATGATTCATGAAATATTAATTTGAAGTCAGCGGAAGAACCCAAATTTTGATTGATTACTATTTTTTTTTTTTCACATAATGTTAGCAAATTTAATATTAATTTTTGAGAAATAGGTAGAGTAGCAATTCAAGAAACATTACGTCGAAATTCTCATCATTTATTGATAAGAGTAAATATGTTTTTGACGTTCAAATTAAATAATGTCATCATCGTTTAATATTAGAGAAGTACGTATCTTTGTTCCCTAGACTAATAAACAACGATTAGCTTAAAAAATATATATGAAGAAGATTGCATCCTAACCTCCGCCCCTCCAGTATTAAGGGGGCGTCGGGTGGTATGGGCACCATTATGCACCCTTTTATGTACACCAAGAATAATCCTAATTTTTAATATTGTTAGTCCAACATGTCAAACAATATGATCATATTTATCGCATCAAAGTTCAAAAAAATCTCGTCATAACATTGACTAGAAATTTTAATATTTGAAAGTGTTGGAATTCAATAAAGTTCGTTAAAGTAGCACGTACAAACAAACAAAAAAACAACAAAGAGGATATACCTTTGTTATCCTCAATAAAGCATTTCACCAAATGCATGCATCTATTCTTATTCGAGGTGTATATATGTGTGCGGAAGTCAAAAGCAGCCAATAATATATTGTTATCGTTGAACAAGACAAAAATCCTTTCAATATAAAAGGGTTATCCATCTCCTAGCAAACATTTCAAACCCTCTTAATTCTCTTATCCTCGTACAATCATCTCATGCCCCCACCCTCAAGAAGAACATTTGGGAACCATATTGTTTGAAATTCTTGAGAAAAAAAAGGGGAGAGAGAGAGAGAAAAGAAATGGTAGGAAGGAATGTGCGTGAGCTTCCTCCTGGTTTTAGGTTCCATCCAACTGATGAAGAATTAATCATGTGTTATCTACGAAATCAGGCCACCTCGAAGCCATGCCCCGTTTCTATTATATTAGAAGTTGATATTTACAAATTCGATCCATGGGAATTGCCTGGTTAGTATACTCGATAACACCTTGTTCTAATCCAGCATACTAAATATGCTACATACGTTATATTAGTTGTATAATATTACTGACTTGATATTCAAATATGACGAAAGAACATTTGGTAAGGATAACGACACATTATTTATAAGGGAAGAAAAATATTAATTAGATTTTTATGACTTGTAACGTCCATTTTTATCTAATAACGCATGCTAAACATTTTCCTATTAACATTTTCCGAGAAAATGTTTGACATACAGTATTGAACGTCTAACCCACCAAACATGAAATGGAAGTTTACGTGCTAGTTTTCACTACTTAAATCTTGACGTACTACTAATTGATGGTTGTGTTAAGTGTAGCAAAAGCAGAATTTGGAGAAAATGAATGGTATTTCTTCACCCCACGCGATAGGAAATATCCAAATGGGGTGAGGCCAAATAGAGCAGCCGTATCTGGTTATTGGAAAGCCACAGGGACTGATAAAGCCATTTATAGTGGATCAAGAAACGTTGGGGTCAAGAAAGCCCTAGTATTTTACAAGGGCAAGCCCCCAAAGGGCGTCAAAACTGATTGGATTATGCATGAATATCGATTGAATGAATCAAGGTCACAACCCCTAAAACAAAATGGATCTATGAGGGTAAGATCTCAATTCTATATTGTATTGTGTATATAAATTTTGTATATAAACTTTATCGTTTTTTTTCTATAATAACAAAATGTATATTATATGAAAGAGATGTACATTAAGATATTTACATATATACAAAAGATATATGTACTTTAGGAATATTTTATACAAAAATGACTGCCCAAACCCATTTAATATTTCATAGGTTAATATATATATTATGAGTTTTTTTTTTCTTATATATCAACTCTGTGTAAATTTTGTTTTGCCCCTATTTGGTACAAATTAAAATTTATATTTTAATCTAAGTCAAAGTAAACAATTGATATTAACCAGACATTATGGGATCACAACTTTTCAATCACACTTTTCAACAACTTTATCAAAATCGATTAAAAATTTGATTTTAATACCCAGCTCCTTGCCTGACTTCACACCTATTAACCATCTTTCGAATGGTTAAATCTTTAGAGATGCATAATTATATTTATTTAAATCTTATCTTTAATACGCACCCTCACATATAGATCAAGCTCACTTTTTCCATCTAACACACAAAATTTTTCGTAACTGGGTGACGATGAGACTTGAGAACGAGTCTTTTGACTATCTGTAATAGGCTGTTTCTATGTTAATCTTTTCATTTAAAATTATATATTGTTATAAAAAGCAGACTGTATTCGTTAAATTTGTAAAAGTTTTGACCATATTGATTTAATGTAATAACATTAGTTTTTGTTCGTTTTATGCATATCAGTTGGATGATTGGGTACTATGCAGAATCTACAAGAAGAAGAATTTGGGAAGAACAACTGCACAAACTGTAGAGAATCCATTTCCCCAAGCTGCGACTACTGCAAATGATGCCACGACTGAACCACAAACACTAAAATTTCCAAGGCCGCCTTCTCTGACTCATCTATGGGAACTTGATTATTTGGGATCAATTTCCCAACTTTTCAGCTACAATTCACATAATGCGACTTTTAATAACCAAGCTCCAATGAGCAGTAATGGAGACTTCCCAAGCACTGTAGAGAAACATCAGTTTGGGACAGTGCAGCAACAAGTGAACCAACAGCAGCAGCAGCCATCTTTTGTGAATCCAGTACTGTACGAATTGCAGGGACAAATATGGTCTTGAATCAAAATTAGCAACATTACAACAATTGTCAAAATTTGTCAATGTATTAAGCACAATATCTTACAAGTCTTCTCAAATTGATATCAGCAATCACTGTAGAAAACACGCTTTAATTTACCTAAGTAGCTCGACATAGTTTTTAACTGCTTTAGGTTTATGTTATCTGATTTTGACATGTTATATAATATAACAAATACCCGTCTTACTAAAATTAACATCTCTTTTGCCATATATTTTCCTTTTCAAAATTTTTTCTGGAATTTTTTCAATATTTCTAACCAGACTTTCATCATATTGAATTTACAACCTATCGATAAAGGCCTCAACCGATAGATTATTGATCATATCCGTCGCTGGTGCCGCACTTTTTAAGTACGTCAAGAGGGTTTTGCTACTGTGACAAGGGCTGTGACAGGCCTTGTGACAAGTCGCCTATGCCACAATAGGAGACGGTACATAGGTGGTCAGTCATAGGGAACTGTCACGGCCCTGTTCATTTATCAAAACCCATGTTAATATGGATGCCGACATTTGAATTATAAACTAGTTTTGAGTTGCATGTATAAATAATTAATTAAACTTAGGATTTTGACTGCTGTTTTGTTTGGCGCTTGTCAAGGTTATCTGTCCTTAACTAGCATTAAAATTTGCTTACTTGAGATATTTTGAAATGTCTAATCATCTATTTTATTAATTAGAGACAGGTTCGTATCATATCCTTGTACTAAGAGTGTAACCAATGAAGACTGAAATTAATTACTGAAGATTAATTAAAATACAAAAAAAGCGCCAACAGATGATACAAGAATGCATTGTCATGGGATTTAGCAACGTGCACCTCTACATTGCATCCTCGATGTTGTCATAAAGTAAAAGAATATGACAACAGTTAACATACGTTAAGATTGAAAGTGCATTGTTATTACTATTTTAGTAGCATGCATTATTTTTCGACAAATTACTTTTCTGGAGTCAATATCTCTCGTCCAAAAAATTTGTTTTTTCAATAAATATATAGTATTACTCTTTCAAGAGACCCACGAATGTTATTCCTTATTCATCACTTATTTTTTCTATTTATGATTTAAATAGTTTATAAATATTTCTAGTACAAGTTTCGTATCACATATGCTAATTGAAAAAGGTAATTAATCAAAGGTGGTTAAGTTCATTGCTCAATTCCATGAATATATTATTGTCCTTTGAAGTACAGGAATCTAACGCAATTTAGTTGACAAACACAAAATGATGACAATTAAAATAATTGACCCAATGTTTTTGGAAAAGCACTAGTCTTACTAGGACCCAATCAATATTAATTACTTGTCGCGCACGATATTAACCCCCGTCTGGTTGTGCGTTTTTGGGAAAAAAATATTAAATTTCGATAAAAATAAAAAATAAAAAAATATTGTTAAAATTCATTTTTTAATTGCATGACATTTGACAAGTTTTAGACAAAGTACCGTGGCCGTAGATATTATTAATTGTGTATTTTCAAATATGCCCTTTAAGAATAGACAAACATGACGGCTGATGAAAATGTGTATAAGTAATTCAAACACTTAAATGGGGTGATATAGACCTTTTACCTAATAAATACCATTTCAACAAGAAAGTTAGGCCTGGACAGGATTGGTTTGAATCGATTTTGTCTCCAACCGGCAACCAGAAGCTAAAACCAAATCAGTCAATTGAATAATGTTATTTGTAATCTCTCACTACCATAGACGTTCTACGTGACATACATGTGATTGATAGTAATTTGATGTATCAGGCAATACAAAACCACTACCACATTAATGCATCAAATCACTAACCGTCACATATATGTCACGTAGAGCGATTATGACAGTAAGTGAATGCAAATATCATTTCTCTAGTCATTTTGGTTTGGTTTGGTTCAATTAGTTGGTTTGAACTTTTAGTCCAAATAGAATTGTTTAAAAAGAATTGTTTGAGTTTTGGAGCCATATAAATTACAAAAACTAAAATAAATAATAACTTTATATTACAAGAACTAGTGACTAGCAAATAAAATTAGGATAATAGAAACGGATCAACGAAAATTATAAGAATTTTGTTGCTTTTTTATACATTATGTAGTTTGACTATTTGAGTAAGAAAAAACTAAGTATAATATATTGAGCTTGTGAAAAAAAAATCTCAGTGCTATTACTTATCGACAACATTATAAACTGAAGAGAATCGAAATATAGTGATGAGATTAGGGCTTATCTTTTAATTTTTATTTTTCATAGGAAAAAAAGATAAACATGTAAGTATGTTGGGTTTGTTCCGTTAACCAACGATTTGAGGGTTCAAACTATGAATGAACCGATCCACCATAAATTTGTTGTAAAAGAAAATAAATCAAAGTAAATCAATTATCTGTGTGAAACCAATCCAAACTGATTGGTTTGATTGATTTGGTCGGATTTTCGATTTTTTTTTGCCCAAACCTAAAGAAAGTAATTGAATTCCGTGAAGCTTTATCTCTCCACATGTAGGGTCACTGATTTGACAAATTTTTTTTATAGTGATTTTTTTTTTTTTTTGGGAAAAAAATAATGCGCTGCACAGGCAAATGTTAATCGATTTTTGTATGTTGATATTAACCCAAGCCTTATTTATATGTAGGACTCTTCTTCTTCCTTGGAATCTACTGTCGTAGTTTGCTACCTATCTTTAGTAGGGGTCTTTTGATTAGAGCAGGGGTTTGCTTGTTTGAAGGGTGAGTGATATCGGTTCAGTTTGATTGGTTTATGTGGATTGTTTGATTTGATTGATTTCGATGAATTTTCAATCCTTTTGTCCAAGCCTGAAGTAAGTAAATGAATTCCATTCAGCTTTATCTCTCCACTTGGAGAGAGTCGCTGATTTAACGGAAATATTGATTTTATTTATTTATTTATTTATTTATTTATTTTTATTGTTATTGTTATTATTATTATTATTATTATTGTTTTGCAAGCTTGTGCGTTAGAATCAGTGGCGAATCTAAGACTTCGACTCAGCTAGGGCGGCCGTTGATTATTGGCCGTTGTCTGTCGATAATTAACGACCGTATACCGATATCTTTTATTAATATTAAATTAAATAATATTAAAAATTCTTCTATCTATATGTAAATATACTAAAATATAAAAATCGTATATTTATATCATATTATATTTCCATACAATCCGAAATAATATAAATTACATGATACATAAGATTTCTTTATGTTATCAATACTTAACAAATCGTTTGCTTGGCTAAAAGTGGTGAGAGATTAGATACATCACTACAAAAATTAGATTAAAATTCAGTTGAAAAAATCATTCCATAATTAGTATGAAAATTGAACGTTAATCAAAAATTAAACGTAATTAAAAGTAATTTTAAAATATAATTAAAGTTTCAATTTTCAATTCTCAACACCAATTCATCACAAATTATAAATTCCCCAATTTCTCATTTTTAATTTTCATGAATCAAATATTCACATTTCACGATATTCAAATTAATTTTTTATATCACAATTCACAATAGAGAAATTCTCAAATAACATATAAATTAAAACTCAATACTCATAAGTCATATCTTATAAATTATTAAAATATAAAATATTAAAAAAAAAAAACCTTTTGTCAAGTCTTAACATATATTATTTTGTTAAATTTAAATTCAAAATTCAACCATTACCATAATGGTTAAGCTTACAATCATCCTAATTCTAGAAGTTATAGGTTCGAATCCTTTCCTTAGAAAATTAATTTTGGTAAATATTGTAAAAATAAAAATTTTACACAATGAAATGGAGGGGAAGGAATCGAACTCAAGACTCACAATATATAAAAGGAAGTTCTAACCAACTAAGCAGAAGAAAGGTTTGAAAATAAAATAAACTACCAATTATACAACCTAAAATTTTTATCTATTACCAACAAAAAAAAAAATTCTCTCCGACGAATTCAGCTAGGACGGCCTGGCCTAGCTGGCCGCATACTAGATCAGCCCCTGCGTCAGATGGGTAAATTTAATTGATTTTTTTATGTTGATATTTACCCAAGCCTTATCTATGTGTAACTTAGCTTGTTTGAAGGGTCAGTGATCACGGAAAAGGTATTAAAATGTGGAAACACATTATTATTGACAATATTCTAGATTCCATTGATTCAGTCTTGAAATAAAAAAAATATAAACTTTTTGATTCACGTAATACAAAGAATTTAATAATTGAAAATTTAATTTTTAGGTCAAAATTATAGGAAATAGTGATGTTTCTCACAATTATAAAAACATCCTCTTCCTATTAAAAAAAATAACAAAAATGTTCCTTGAGATATGCTTTTCGTATAGATTTTCTGTCAGCTAATGGTAAATATATTATTCACTTTGCCTCTTTATACTATTTTGAATTTTTTGTTTCATTAGATATAAATAAATTTTTTTTTTTTTAATTTCTTATTGCTTGAGAGATAATTTTTCAAACTCTTGACATTCATGTTATTAAAATTCTAAACTCAAATAACATCATAACATTAAAAATGTAAATAATGTGAACGCCAGAGGCTTAAAGCTTAGAATTTCTTTTAGTTCGTTTTAGACTTACAAAAATAATAACAAAAAAAAAAACTAAAAAAATTATTTTTTCTAAATTATAAAATTAAACGTAATTTTTTTTTTTTTTTTTTTTTTTTTTTTTTTTTTTTTTTTTTTTTTTTTTTTTTTTTTTTTTTTTTTTTTTTTTTTTTTTTTATTTTTTTTTTTTTTTTTTTTTTTTTAACAAGATATCAGAGTTCGCAATGTTTAACATAAAACATCATATTTACCCTTTAAGGATAAGGGTACCATTTTTTACATCTGCAATTTTTATACATGCATCCACTCTATATATATCCCTATTAAAATTTTAAAAAATTACTATTTTCATTCAAGTCAAATTTCAATATTGTCCTTATTAAATTTATTCATTTAAACATTATATATTCTTGCAAATTTTATATATTTATCCAACTATAAATATATTCCTAATATAATTTTGAAAATCACTATATTCATCCAATTACTATCAACATTTAATCTTATTCTTACTTTGTATTTTCTATATTTCATATCGGTGCTTTAATATTTAGTTATAAATGTTAGTAAATCTTTTTCTTT